ATATTTGTAAAAATATCGATGAAAAAAAAATTCCACAAATAGGTGAACCCATGGATGCCAAAGACAGAATTAATTAAATTCTCAATCAAAATTTTTTTTCTTCAACAAAAAAAAAAAAAGGAAGAATTTTCCACGAATATTCATTTGTAGTGAGTTTGGGTCAGCGCGACTGACTCAGAAGCTTCCAGAAGTGCGCTGAATGACTTTCGAAGACTGGAGGACACTCGGGTGCTTGACGTAAGACGACCGTCTTCAGATACGAGCGCAAGGAAGACGAGGAGAGCGTCAAAGTGTGTCCTCGGGGGGGTGAAGGCGCTCTTTCCAGGCTGCTGTCTGAAGATTGCGAATCCCCAACACTCAATCTGGATGTTTATCTCCCCCCCACCCCCACCCGCAAAAAAAACCCCAAACAAACCAAAAAAAAGGAAACACTTGGTCTTGGTTGACTTGCGCCCACCCGCACCCCCACCCCCGGGATATGTATTACCAAAAAAGCCGTTTTATATATCAAGGTAAGCAGACGAGGAAGAAGGAAGGTTGAAAAGCCACCAGCAAGATCGGAGAACAAGACAAACACTTGGATGGGAAAACACGACATTTGCTCGACGTGTCTATCATGAGTCGACGCACAAAAATGGCCCGAGGAGGCAAAGCCCAAAAATATACAGACAAGTCTGCCACTATGGTTTGAAGGAACAACTTTACTGACGAATAAATTTGGCCATTTCAAAAGCAAAATTGCCTGGGAGAATTTTTAGAAAAAGCCAAGTTCACTTCACAAGAAGACCCGCTTAAAAAAAAGTCTCAGGAAGTAAAAAAGGCCAAAAAGAGACAAGAAGTCTGCCATTTTGGTTTCAGTCAACATTTTGTTGAACATTTCTGGTTCCAAATTCAGCCCCGCAAAATTAATTTTGCTGAGCATCATGAAACTTGGTCAGCATGTCTATCATAAGTTGACTTCCCCGCAAAAATTCCAGAAAACAGGAAGTCAATCAAGTTTGCTTTGAGCGGGCCATTTTACGCCATCCCCTTCAACTGTCTCACCCCTCACCTGTCCGTTGTCCAATTGAAAACGAAATCATTTCGATTCTTTTTCTTATAAAGGGTAAAACAAAAATGGCTTCCCGGGAGGATAGAGTGTATCAAATTGGCCCCTTCATAAATGGGAGAAAATATCAGCTGAAACACTTTCATCAAGGCATCTCTGCACAAGTTTTTTTTTTTTTTTTGCCAGAGCAGATGGTCAGCAAATATTACCTTGAATAGCGGTGAAAGGCCTCGTAGATTTAATCTTGTTCCACTCAAATAGATTGAAGCCCTCGCCCCCAAAATCCTATGAAAGATGTTTTAGATTTATTACCCGCCGAGTATGTGTGTGAGTTTGTTCTTTCCGTGGAGACGACACAAGAAGAAAAAGAACATCCTCCTTAACGGCCTTGTAACCTTTTTGTTGGCGTGTTCGACGAATGATGATGTGCAGGGTTTGTCAAATTTGAACAAACCATCGATTGTATGAGACAAATACAAACGTTTAATCTGGGGAGATTTGGGAGAAATTATGCCGAGCGTATACAAGGAATGCAGCAGTGAAGGTCTTCCAGTTGCTTAGTGGTAGTCTGCTAATTGCTAATTATTGTCTGGTCTGGCTCGTTACAATGCTTTCAGGTGAGCAGCCAACTGGTTTTTAGCCTTGTCCCGAGTGGCTATTAAATGGTTGCTAGCTGGATGTTAAGTGGTTCCTGAGTAGATGCTATCTGGTTTCTGAGAGGTTGTAAACTGGATGCTAACAAGATGTTGATACATTGCAAGGAACCAGCTAGCTAACTGTTATCTGGCTGAATGCTAACAAGACGAAGAGTTGTCGCAAGCTAGCCGGCTCTCAAGCGGCTGTTATACGGTCGCTAACTGGATGTCGAGCAGTGACTGCGTGGATGCTAACTGTTTGTTGAGTGATTGTATCTGGGCGGACGTTAATAGGTTGCGAGTGGCTAGCTAGATGCCGTCTAGCTGTTCGCTACTGAGACATCGAGTGTTAGCAAGTGATCAGCTGAGTGCATTTTTTTTTTTCTCGCTGTTTGACAGCTGAACACGAAACGGTTACAGGCGACCCGCTAAGTGGCTTTGAGCTACTCGCTAGTTCAATGTGGAATGGTCCCGCTTTGTTATAAACTCCCCCTTTAAGTTCAGAGGTCTTATTTGGTAATCTTCCAGGTGTCCTGTCCCCCCCTTCCCCCCCCCCCCCCCGAGCCTCTCGAAGACAGCATCAGCACTCGCAGTCGACAACGGAAAGCCTGTGATGGCGTCCCCCGTCGGCGGCGGCCATTCTTTATTCTGTGGTCTGCTTGTCATTTTGTAGCTGTCACTCGGCCCCACTCTGCCCGTCCATCAGCATCCGTCCTCCTCCTCTGCCATCCGTCACTCTCGGCGGGCTTTGGCTAACAGGCTGCTTGACAGCCAGCGAAAGTGGACTTTTTTTCTTTCCTTGCCCCCCCTACCCCCCCTCCTTGCTTTGCCCAGCCAGTCAGTTAGTCATCCGAGGCTAATTAAATACCGGCGCGCTCCCTTCACGACTCCACTCTGCTCGTCGTCTTCCCTTTTCCCAAGGAGAGAGCTTTTTTTTTTTCTGTCTCTCTCTCTCGCTCTCGCTCTCCCCTTTGTCGCCGAGGGTGTCGTGCGCTGAGATTAACCTCCCGCTGTAAAGCTCACACACACAAAGTAACAGCAGCCAACAGCAATGCTCCTCAATCAAATGTTAAAAGCATCCACTTCAGGAACGTCTCTTGAAGGAACGAGCGCTATAATGTGCACACGTTTTGTCGGGAAACGGCGCATAAAAACAAAGTAACAACGGTCCTTCATCAAATGTTAACATGGTTATCTCACAGGTTATTTTGTGACTGAACAAGCGTTAAATTTCACTTTTACGCATTTTGTCAGGAAAGAGGAGGTTGATTAAAACCAAGTTACAACAACAGCACCGACTCAATTGGTGAGAAGCGTCCACCTCGGAAACATTTCTTCAAAGGAGCAAGTGTGATAATTAACGTACGTATTGTCAGGAGATAGTTTATGAAAACCAGTTAACAGTCAGCTCCATCGTTGACCGAGATTTATCATGCTGACAGTTATCTCTCTTTCTCGATGATGCCATTGTGATTGTTGTGCTTGGTGGCGAAATGGTTTATTTAAACTCTCGCTCGTCTCAACTTGGGGTGAATAAAAATAAATAAATAAATAAAAGAGCCTTAAAAAACGCTGACGTGATTGAGACGCGTCATCGTTCCTCTCGCTCGCACAATGAACGAATACACGTTGAAATCAATCATGCAAAACCCAAACGTTAAAACGCAGCGAGGTCATCTGCGTGGCCGGAAATAATTGCGTTCCGCCAGCGAAACGATCCAAAGACCCTGACAGAGTGTGTCCAACAAGCTGACAATGTGCTGTTCCGCCTGTTGCGCACAGCAGCCAAGAGTGGGCGGCTGAAAAAAAAAAATTCCGTTTTTAATTTGTCCGCCACAAGCGAGATGAAGTCGAGGCCAGAAGGAAGACGAAGAGGGCGACCGGTCATCACAGTCTGCTCGTTGTATTTCCCGCTTTTGATACGAATCCCACTTGAGACTGATCCAGTCTTTCTCCGAGTCTTGTTTTCTTTGCTTTTGGCTCATCGCGAGCGTCTGTCGGAGAGACTTTGGTCGTTATTCGGATGCAGATGGACGATTAGAGCGGCATTACCGCGTGGCGCACCGCAAAGGAAGACAAAAAGAAACTTAAAGCTGCCGGCGGCGACGGACGTGCCCTCGCGCCACTTTTCATGGCGAATCTTTGAAATGATCAAACTTGAGCGCCCACGTTCGATGGAGTCGGCTCCAAAAAGCTTCGCAGCGTAGCGCGGCCCATCTGTCTGGGATACCTGCCTTCTCGTTAGGGCTCATCTGTGCAAATTCCCGAGTTGCAGTCAGTTAAGTCACAACTGTTGTTATTCTGTTATTTCTATTTATTTCTTTATTTTGTGTGTGTAAGAACGCTACATACACGAACGCCAAATCAGTCTTTGGAAAAGTACGGATGAAAAACACCGAAGCAACGTAACGCCAAAAGGCTACATTCCCCAGAGTGTTGTCACTCTTCACGCTTTCTCGGGAAAGAGTCATCATTTGATTTCAACCAGGGGTGTCAAACTCATTTGACATTGTGGGCCACATACAGCCTCGATAGACGTAAAGTGGGCCGGACCATTAAAATTATACCATACTCTGCTATGAATAACCAAAATATCATGTATTTCCTTTGTTGGCAAAAGCTTGTCGCTTCTCGGGACATACAAGTTCAGCCGCCTTCTTCATGCATCGTTTCACAAAGTCACCGTCGGAATACGGCTTTGATGCTAATGCTATTTCGCAAGCAATTATCTTGCGGGCCTGATCGAACCTCGTTGGGGGCCGGTTCCGGCCCGCGGGCCGTATGTTTGACATCCCTGGTTTAAACTGACCAATTTTGTTGGTACTGCCGCTTTCAACCTTATCAAAACAACGATGGGCTCAACTTTGAATCCTGCAGCGACTCTTCGGTTTGCTTGGCAATGTTTTTCAGTTTTTGACGCAATTGCGACTGGCAGCTTTTTGTTTTTGTTCCTACGACGAGAGACAAATGTTCACAATGATGACCAAGATCAAGAATCTCAATTAATTCATATTTTTTTTTTCGGTCAGTCGGTCGCAAGTAAGAGTCGAACCCAAATTGAGCACACCAGACCACAGCAGTCTTTGGGTGTGACCGATGTGACAGTTTATGAGAAAAAGAACACAGAAGCTCACACGGCTGTGTCGTCGCGGCGTGACATCAAACAGCCACGGGGACGGCGCAAACAGAAAGCAGGAAGAGCCGAGGTAGAACTCGTCGTCGGAAACAGAAGGCTGAGGGGATTGACGGGAAAAAAAAATGACGAGGCGGCGATCTTAGAGGCAGGCAGAGTTGGAAATGGGAGATCAATCCAAGAGAGAATGCTGGATAGTTTTTCAGAAGAGCAAAGAAGAATCTGGCAAAGGGTGAATGAGCCGGAGAGGCCTCGGTGTAGTAGGAGCCAGGTAAATTTCCACTACAAATATTTCCCACAAATCCATTTATATTTTATCATAGAGAGAAACCCCCCCTCCCAAAAAAAAAGAAAAAAATCACCAACCACCTCTATTCCTCTGTAGAATCCATCAGCAAACAACAAGAAAGGATGACTGTCTTCCAAAAGATGTGGCTGGGGGGGGGGGGGCAAGGACGTGCAGTAGCGCTGGTGGGTCAAGAGCCCAATCTATCCGCTAGATGAAAAGCAAACGGCAATCGCGTGGCACAAACATGCGTGTCATCCCCGGGAATTGGCCATGGCCTCATCAGAACCCTCCTCTGCCTTTTTTTTTTCTTGTACTTCTTTCCTGTGCAAATGGGAGACATATTGAGGAAAAAGATGGGCGGG